ATATTTGCTACTTTCTTTGAAAGGGGATCTAGAGGTTGCAGATGGTTCCAGGCAAAATTACTTTGCAGACATTTCAGAATAAGACTTCAGCAGATAGAAATTAAAAACCGGTTGAAGAGGGAGAATGTGAGATAGAAGAGGGAAGACATTTTCAGGAGGAGAGAGCCCTACCTGGAGGATTTACAGAGGACTGACTCCTCTCCCTGTGCTTGGTCTCTTTCAGACAGTTCTAGATGTGGGTCTTTGAATGATAAAGAATAGAAACCCACTCAACCTAGCACAAGTGAAAGGCAAAGATGAGCCTATAAGGGCACAGGACAATCAGGGATTCGAGAAAGGCTCAGTCAAGCAGCCAGTGACTAAGAACTGGAAAAGTTAGGAACCAAGCTGCCCTAGACATCTCCCCGGACCTGCATCCTTCTGCTCCAGATCCCTGCACTGCTTCTTCCTCTTGCACCTGGCCCTTCTGTCCAAAAGCCTAGGCCCATCACCAAGGAGCAGAAGTTGTCAGTCTCATTCTTCAGATTTTTGCAAGAGTGAATCTGATTGGTTCAGATCGAGAGAGCCAGGCCAGCCTAGCCAATGGGGCCTTTGGATCAGGGGTACAGGGCAGGTCAGTTTAGCCTTGGTTGCCCCCCTTGAGGTGAGGGATTCCATTTTTCTGGAGTACAGCCTGGAAACAAGGACACTTGTGTCTTGGAGAGATGTGGAGTGTATCTTTTTCCACGCCCCTCCAGGGACAAGGCTTTGGATGGCTCTCATGCCACTGGCCTGGGAGTTCTGACCTTTAACTCCAAGGGACCTGAGGAATGTCCAATGACTCACAGCCTTCAGACTTACTGTCCTTGAATGTTGCAAGACAAGATCTGTTTGCTTTATGTTCGTGGACTTTAGGGCTTTGTTTAATGAATATCAGAAACCCTGCTCCACTGGAATGAAACAGCTTAAAATTCATCTTTGGGGCTTCTCAATGTCACAGCTTGTTTTGCCAATGAGACTGTCAACTTCTTGAAAGGAGAATTTCAGATTTGGAGATAATCTTAGAGATCAGAGTCTCACTATCTCATTTTACAGGTGTGGAAACTGAGGCCGGAGGGAGGAGATAGAGCACCGCAGGACAGGGGCAGGTGGAACCTGGGACCCCATAGGTGCCTGGACACCCCTCATGCATGGCCTGCTCCCCGTGAATACCCATAGTTTATTTCTCATTTCACTTTTGCTTTCCTTAAGCTTATCCTTCTCTCTTTATGGCCCTTCCTCCACCACCCATGTCACCTTCCACAATCACTTTGCATCTGCCTTTCGGGCAATGGTCTTTGAGGCTGAACAGTGGAAGCTGAGAGGAGGCAGGGGTGAAATTTAACCCGGTTCTATGGCGCTGTTATCTCTCTAGGCCAACACCACAGTAACACAGCACAGACACCAGACTGGCAACCTCCTCCTCCTGCGAGGTCATCAGTCACCAAAAGGCACAGTACAGCCATTCTTGCTCCCACCAAAACTCACTCAGGGCTTCCAGGCCAAGGCAGGGACTTGGGCCATGCTGGCCTCCTCCAGATGGGAAGATCCGGTGCCTCTAGTACTTCCCTCCTTCCAGCCTTCTCTGAGCACGGCAGGCCTTAGTCCACTTTAAAGTTACCCTCATGCCATGGGGCAGTTCATCTGTCTCCCGGGTGTCAGCCTGGTCTTTCAATTCCTGCAGGCAGGTGGCTTCTCACCCCCAGGACTCTGGTGGGTGCCCACCAGGCCTTCAATCAAGGTGAGGGGGCAAGGACACAGCTCAGTGGTAGAGTCTGTGCTTAGCATGTGTGAGGCCCTGGGTCCCATCTCCAGGACAATAAAATAAAATAAATAAATGTAAGGACTAATGGGGGTGCTTTCTCCCTGGATAGGCCCTGGAGGGAGCAGAGAGACCAAATGGGAAGAAAGGAGAAATATTTCCTTTTGTTCCTGTCTTAGGCACGTGTGATTAGGAGAAGCAAAGCTGGAAACAGAAGAAATCTTCTGGTCTTCATTTCTTAGGTGTGACAAGTCAGGCAATTCCTGGATACTCAACGCTCCGCTTACCCAATGCCAGTGTCATTTCCCCCCAAGACCCCTACTTCCTCCACTCGGCAGCCAGCAGCTTTTCTGACTCCAGCTTGCAGATTGGGTCAAGGCCAGTTACAATGTAGGGAAGGCCAGTCTCAGATGAGGGCCACCTAAGCCCCGGCCTCCTACTTGGGAACTTCAGTTTGAGGACCCACAGAACCTTCCTCCCACAGTCCCCATTCTAGCCAGAAACGCCCATCATCAGAGGCTGCTCTGGAGAGCTTTCAGTAAGAGACAGAAACATCAGGGTCAGAGCGGAGGACGAAGAGGATCTTGGGAAGGTTAGTGGAAGGCTTGTTAGACTGGAGGTAAAGCAGAGAGCCGGCTCTGAGGACGTGAAAAGCAGGAGATCAATTTGATGGATAGCAATGCGGGATTTCAGGGCCCCATCCAGAGAGGCAGTCTTGGGTGGGGTGACTCAGTATGGGGGTCTTTGGAAAGCAGAATGGGGAGCGGGGAGAATATAAATCAGCTGATAGGAGGGAGTGGTAGTAGGCAAAGACTAGACCTGGGCCAAGGTTCCTTGAGGACAAACCTAACTTATTTCCCACATTAGCACGGAGGCTCCACCCACCCCATGTAGGGATCCTATGACACAGGTTCTGCTGGTCTGAGTCTGCTGAAAGGAAAATTCAGGGCTCAATCTTATTGGCCTCAAAGACCTTGGGAATGGAAAGACTCGACCATTACTGAGCACCTGCCAGGTGACAGGTCCAGTTGAAGTACATTATGATCACGGTTCTCACAAGGTCAAGAAAGCTGTCGAGTAAGATGCCAAAGGTCACCCCACCTGGAGGTTAAGTCAGCTTCCCAAGGTTGCAGAAGCGGGAAGGATTATGCTGGGGATTGACACCTAGGGGTCAGGCTAACTCGAGAGCCCTTGTCCGTACTGCCTGGTTCACCCAGGCCCATGCCCCTCTGTGGGGCCTGCCCTCCACAGATAGTTCACATTCTACACATTGCTCAGCCTCTCCTCACCTCTGGGGGTGTGGTTTAAAGCGGAAGCAAAGCCAAGACCCAGACAATTGCATTCTTGATTCTTTGCAGATGGCGGCCTATCACACAATGTGCAGAACTGCACTGACAACGAGGTAAGGAAATGAGAATTTGCTGAAAGGAGAGATCCAGTACTATTAGTTAATATTTGGTAAACCCAGGAAATTGTCCAGATGTTAAAGCATAAAAATAACTCACTGCCGAGCCAATGAGGCATAAATGCTAAGAGGCACAACCCAGCAGGAGGAGTCAGGTGTGCGTAAATGCCTTCCTTTGGTGGTCGGGGAGGGATGGGCCTGGCACCCAGACAACTGCCTTCAGCTACCCACTGCACCTTTTGCCAGCTCTTGGCTAAGGAGGAGCTCTGCTGAAGTCTCTGGACCCACTGCCTTCCCCCAGCTGGGGAGCAGGGAGCTGGGGGCTGAGACACCCACCATGACCTTTAGTCCAAGGATCAAATGAGCCTCCCTCCACAGGATGTGGACCTTTCCGCCAACGTCTGGGTGAGTTCAGGGTCCCAAGCCCAGAAGACCAGCTCTCCATACTAAACAAAATCCCATCCTCCCAGCCCAGGCCAAGCCCCACCTCTTCTGGGGAGCCTGTCCCAGGCTCCTTCTGCCCTCCACATTCACCCTCTAGCCAGCCCCGGTTGGCTGCACTAACCTCTCCCCCAACAACCTGCCCCCTTCTCTGTCCTGCCAAATCTCCAGGGCCTTCACACTTAGCTTTCTTCCCTCACATTTGGAGGCTTTGTGCCCTGTGGCCTTAGTGAGATACCAGCCCCTTCCTTTATCTTTGTCAAAAGTCTTAGCGATTTTTTGCTCAAGTACCACCTCCTCCAGGAAGCCTTCCCAGAGCCTCTTCCACCTGACCACCTTCCATCCTGGTTGGCTCCTCCTCCAGGGGTTCCATAGCACTTTGTGTTTATCCCTATGTTAAGTGTTGACTATCTCCTATACTTTCACTGATGGTGGCTCTTATACTAGACTGAACTTGAGGGCACACACTGAGGATCTTATTGTATCTAATTACAACAGGAGTGCCTGGTCTATGGGGAGTGTTCACCAAATGTTATGAGAACTAATCAGTAAATGGATTTCTGTATGTTCTATATATCCCAGTTCCTCCAATGCCTTCCTGACCCCCGTGCCTGGTGAAGCTACAATATCATAATTCTCTCGAAGGCCTCCGTGCCAAGTTCAGTTTTAAGCAAAACTGTGGTGATTTGGTTAAGGGATGACTGGATTATGCACTGCATCAAATTCTTGTAGCTACCATGTCCCAGTCTTTAGCATGGCCAATGGAAAATAATTGGTTGCAAAGTGCATATCTAATTACAACATCCCGCCCCTGCCACAGAGATGCGCAAATGTTAATCATAACATATGCATCTCAATAACCGACGGTGGCACTGAATGCAGCAATAATAAAGCCACTTGCCCCCCCCCCCCAATGCTTACACAAAGCTCTCTTTTATCTGCCATTGGAACAGGCTTTGCACTTTGCGCGCGTAAGTCCTCATCCTTGGAGCTTTCTTGACTCTAAAATGTAGAGTTTCCCTGCCAGGCTGGACCGCGCTTCCGCCCCCACGGTAGAGGTCGCCACCCAGGGCTGCGCCAGCGCAGCGGATCGCTGGGCGACCTGTTTCGGCAGCGCTAGATTGGGCTGTCTCGGCGACTCAGGCGGCATCCCCGGCGTCCCGGCGACACCCGGCTCTCCAGGGCCCGCCATCCCGGGAAAGAAAGGCGAACTACATTACCCAGCAGGCCTCCCGCCGCTCTCTTCCCTTTCAAGTCTTTGCACGTGGCCGGAGGGGGAGGCGGGGCCTGGACGTCACTCTCCTACATTCTCTTTCCCTGTGTCAGAACCGGGATCATTTTTTTTCCTTCCTCTACTCCCTCCCCCCTACCCGCCCCTCCCTCCCTCCTTCCCTTCCCTCCCTCCCTCCCCTTTCGGCTGGATCGGTGCGCCGGGGCGCCCTATCCCCTCCGCAGCTGGGACGCGCCGAACTCGAGGCAGGAGTAGGCTCTCCGGAGCCTGGTCCCTCCCTTCCCCTTCCCTGTCCCCTTCCCCCACCCCCGACGCGGGCTTGGCTCGGCGACCAGAGGAAACCCGAGGTGAGCATCCCTCGTCCGTCCTCCTTTAGTCGTTCCAGCTTGCCGATCGATTCGGGGACCCGGGAGGAGGGCTGCGTGACGTGCGCGAGCTTATAGATAAATCCTGGAAAACCGCCCCAAACAATTAGCCCCCTTCCCCCTCCCTGCGCCTCAGCGAGCCGGGTGTCCGCACCCATCCACCGTCCCTCTCCTCCCTCTCTCTGTAGGGGACTGCACCCTACGATCTCGCCCCGTCCCTGGGTTGGTCCCATTCTCTGTCCCCTTTCCCCGCCCGGTAGGGAGCCGTGGCCCTGGAGCTCCGGAGCTGAGGGGGGTTCTTGGGGGACGGTCGGTTGGAGCGGAGTCGCGTTGGAGCGGCACAGTGTAGCTGCTGTCATGTGCCGGGTTCCGACCCGGGGGGGAGGAAGCGAGCGAGCGTGATTCCTCTCCCTTTTGTTTTGAAGCCCGCATTTGCTGCAGCGAGCAGTTGGTTTAGTACCAGGCAAACTTGCAGCTGTTCTGATCGCGCTTCGCCGAGGTAGGGAGCGAGGTTCGGGATCGTGGCTCGGGGCCACCGGCTGCCGCACTCGGAGCTGCCGGAGGGACCCCGCGAGTGTGTCCCCACACCTCCCCTCCCTGCGGTGCTGACGGTTTGTGTCTGTGGCAGCGACCGTGTGTGAGTGTGCGCGCCGGTCCCCGCGTGCT